TATTCTTTTTTAGTTATAAATCTACCATCTTTACCTCTGAACAAATGCTTGTTTGCATGATGACAATTTGTTTTCTTTATGTCTTTTATCACAAGCCTTGGAATAAATTTATTACTTTGGTCTTTAGTACATCTATTTCTTTTGGAAGAATTACGAATTTTTTTTATAATTTCATCTTCGATATTTTTTCTATATTTCTTTCTTTTTTTAAATTTAACTTTATTACATTTATTCTTCAAACTTTTACTTTTCGTTTTTTGTACCTCGTTATTTTTAATAAATATTTTTTGCTTTTTAACTTTGAAATAAATATTGTCAATTTTACTTTTACAACTTTTATTATTTAATTTTCTATTTTTTAAAAAATCTCTCACCCTTTGAGGCATTTTAAATATTACACCTTCTTCATTTTCAGACTTGATATCATCTTTTTCAATATCGAATAAATCCCTTAAATTAAATTTTTTATTTTCCTGATGTATTTTCGATACGAATATTGTATTTTTTCCCGGCTGACGTTTTAATATTTTATTTTTTTCACCAATTAATAATGCTTCGAAGGGACTAAATTTAATTGCTGGCGATTTTGAAGACATCATTTTACATTACCTGTAATCTGATAAAGCTTAGAGTAAAAATACAATATTGAAAAATTTTAATAAAAAGAAAAAAACATTTTTTTTAATTACTTTGTATTTTATTAAAAAAAAACGATAAATTATTATATTTTTATATTTAAATGCATGATAAAAATTCAATATATTCCTACCGGTTATTTTATACATAATAAAATGGAAATAATTTCCAATTTCTTAAGTTAAACATAAACCACTTATTTTTTTCATTTATCATATTTTACAATAAAATAAATGAAATAGAAAACTCATAATACCAAAAATTGAAAACATATTTAACATTAAAAACCATTGCATATTTAATTTTTGTATAATTATATTAAAAAACGTTTTTTACTATTGAAAAACTAATTTTAGCTTAGAGTACTGTTTGTATAACACATAGTTATCTGGTTTGAAGTCTTGTTTTACGTAGCAGGGCAGCCAATTTTTTTTTTTTTTTACATAAAAAATTTTTAACGGTTTTTAAATTTTATCACGTAAAGGTGTTTCCCTATCTTTTAACGTTAAAATTGTGAGAATGTTTAAAAAAAAATAATATTAATACATTTTAGTAAAATATTTAATTTTTATTTTAATAAAAAAATAATTCACAAGATTTTGTAAATATATATATCAGAATTACATCTAGTACATTAATTATTAATCGATTAATAATTAAGAAAATAATGGTATGAAAATTTTTTTTTTTTTTTTAAATTATTATCGAGGAATAAGTTTGATTTGATTCGAATGACCGTAAATTTAAAAAAAAAAACTACCTTTTAGGTAAATCACAAATACTTCAAGTAAAAACGTTATTTCAAAATGTACAATTTATGTTTGCTGCGGCCGTAAGTTGGAGCAAATTTTTTTTTTTTTTTTTAAATCAAAAAAGTTTTCCAATCGTTTGATTAATTAAATTTTGATGATTTCGATGAGTTTGCTCCGTTTTGATTTTAGGACGCTAAATAAAAATAAACAAGGAGCGGTTATTTCATTAAAAAAAAAAAAAAAATACAAAAAAAAA